AATACTAAACATTACACATTAGTATTAAACTAGGATTCTGATATGAAAACACCTAGACTTTCCTTATTCCTCAAGGAGAGTAGAATTACTTGGACACCACTCCAAGTTTCCTTCATCTGAACCGATTCACACCATCTAGCCACCACCGGTATCAGATAATTCAACAACAATCACCCCCTGAATTTCTGAGTCGAGGGTAATTTTTGCACGCCAAGCAACGCTCGCATCTCTGAGAACCTTATTCGAGCTAAGGCCTTCGTAAGTGGATATGCTCGTTGCTTATCTCCCGAAACATGCTCAACAATCACTTGCTCGTTTTCCACACGCTCTCAAATGAAGTGGAATCGAATGTGAATGTGTTTGCTTCTTCCATGAAAGACAGGATTACTTGACAGTGCAATTGCTGATTTGTTGTCTATGCGAATCAGCACCTTCTGTTTCTTCATTCCTGTCAGCTCAACTAACAACTCCCTTAACCAAACTGCCTGACACACAGCTGCAGTAGCTGCCATGAACTCAACTTCACATGAAGACAAAGCTACTGTATATATAGATGCTTGATAGGTTATAGTGATAGCAGTCACAATGTGGATGTTGATGATGGAAGAAGTACAACATGACATGTTTTCTACCTTGGTGACTCACCAAATTAAAAAGAAAAGCAAACAGAGAACAAGAAAGCCAAAACTCACTTCTGACTTTACTGAAGAAACATAACTCGAAAAAACTTCAATCTGATAAATCTATACAAGATCCTATCTCTCGGTCTTTTATACTAAACATTACATATTAGTATTAAACTAGGATTTTGATATGAAAACACCTAGACTTTCCTTATTCCTCAAGGAGAGTAGAATTACTTGGACACCACTCCAAGTTTCCTTCATCTGAACCGATTCACACCATCTAGCCACCACCAGTATCAGATAATACAACAACATGACTTACATCTCGCATGCCTATGTTGCATCCGAGCTATCAAGAGTTCAACTTCAAATTTTGAAGAGGCTAAATTATATTAAAAATTAGTAATGAACTAAAAAACAAAATTTATCATTGAGAAATAATCATGGTTCATTTTGGTAACTAACCATTCCAATTTATTTTAACCATAGTGCTTTTAATAATCATAGTGCTTCTAATAAGATTAGTGTAACAATTTATCAAAAAATGTTAACTTGATCCATTGCATCTCATAGGCTCTTCTTGGCCTCCTTAACTGATCATTATTACCATACATCTAAAGCAAACAATTTTGGTCTAATTAACTTCACAAATTTACATATTTCCCCATAAGACTATTGGGTGTGGGGCGGTTAAAGCTCGTTTTTGTCTACGTGGAACGCCCATAATGGTGTTATAACGCGCGAACACCGCCCCATAGGCTCTACGCCATTAAGGTCCGTTGGGTTGCCTCCCATTGCCATGGTAACGATTCGTAATGCCGATTTTCGAAGGAAATGAACGTTGGGAACGATCAAAAAGTAATTAAAAAAAATTATATTTTATCTATTCACTTTACATATAAATACACATATATACCCACTTTTTTTTAACTACACCATTCTTAATCTTTTTCTCATTTTATTTATAAAAATCAATCACATTTTCTTTCAACCAAACTATGGAGCAAAACTCGAACACCCTTCCTCCAAACACAAACACATCCGCTCTGATGAAGTTCGCATAATACGAAAGCTATATAAACTTCCTCAACTCTCAAAACTGTCCACAAATACCATTTTCAAGAAACTATTTCAATCTCACCTGACCCCCAATACAATTTCCAAAAATCGTCCTACATGCAACAAAACCCAAGCCTTCAACAAAATCTTTTCAATATGTTTGCTTCCATGCCACAAACAACCACAGAGTCACCACCTACACAACCAACGCAAGATACGGTTCCCGAAACACAAGCGTAGTCAGAAAGCTAAAGGGAAAGGGAAAAAGAAAGGGAAAGCGATCGTGGAAAGTGAAGAAGGAGTTGCACTATGGTGGAAACCAGAGGAGGAGTATGCGTTGGCAGTGGCGTGGTGCGAGACTTCCAAAAATCCAGTTGTAGGAAATGATATGAGGAGAATTGGTTTTTGGGAAGCCGTGCTCGGAAAATTTCATGCGATTTTGAAGAAATAGCAATATTGCAATATGGATATGTTGTGTAGCAAGTGGACTCCAATCATTCATTGGTGCATCAAGTTTAATGTGATTTTCATGAGACTTTCTTCACAGAAGCAAAGTGATGCGAATGATTTCGATTTGTTCAAAGCTGGGAGTGAACAATACCACTTCGAAATGGGGCACGCTTTCGAGTATGTAGTTGTGGTCCCTTTATGGCTTGATCTATGGATTTTGGATAGCTCCATAAGCTTAGAGTCATGTTTACTTCAGATATGATCTTTTGGGGTGAGCTTTGAGTGCTTGCATGCTCTCTTTTTCTCCATGCATGAAGAAAGATGCATTCTTTGACATTTCTTGATTTGGGGTTTTAGATATTGGTTGTTTGGAGCCTTAGAATGCATAAAGTTGGAAACTTTATCCATTAAGACACTTGTGTGGTCTAGATATGAGAGTTAGAGGCATGAACTTAATGTGTTAAGTCGTTTTTAAGGATATAAGTTTGGCCACGGCGCAACGCGCCTTCTTGGCCGCGACGCGGTTGTTTTTGGAAGTCTGATATGCGTCTTTTTTCAGCCAAGCAGCCCGACTGTTTTGTCTTTTTGTGACCACAACGTGGTCAAGAGGTTCGGCCGCGGCTCGGTGACCAATGTTGGTTGACTGTTGACTTTGACTGTTGATTGTTGACTTTTTGACCATTTTTACTCTTGGTCAAACTTGAGTAGAATTGAGTATTTGGCTAAGAAGTAGTCTCAAATGACATTAGGTAGCTTGGGTAGTTATTTTTTCCGAAGTTGTTGTTGGGCTTCTTTTGATTAGCTTAGGTGAGTCTTCTCACTATACTATGTAGGATGATAGGTTGTCTTTGTGACACTTGCATATATGTTACATATGTTAAGGGAGACTCGTTGGTCGAGCCCTGTTATGCATGTTGGGCGAGACCTGTTTATATGTTTATTGGGTGACGCCTGTTTATATGTTTATTGGGTGAGATCCTGGGCAATGCTCGTTTATATGTTATTGGACGAGGCCCATTATGTATGTTGGGCGAGGCCCGTATTGATATATGGTATCTTGGGAAACTCACTGAGCTTTATGATTATAGTTTTAAATTTAAATTGTTACAGGTTTTCTGGTAACAAAGGAATGACGCGGCTTGATTGCATCTTATCCATTGGAGATTTCCGTACTTAATAACTCTTGTGCCTATAGTCTGATCAATATTTTGAATCAAATGGTTTTATTTAGATCTGTGAAGTTGTAATGGGAACAAGTGTTTTTAATATTAAATAAAAAAAATGATTTGAAATTTAGGACGTTTTAATCGAGGGTTCCCAACATTGTCACCAAAGCATGTTGAATATTGAATCTTTTGTTTTGAATTGCATTGTACTCTCACAAAGGCATCCATTCTCTTGTGTGGTAACACACCAAGCATATAGAAATGAAAATTCATTTTATATGTGAAAAAGTTGTCAATGGAGAGCTATGGGTTCTACATGTTCCCTCCCAGTATCAACTTGTTGACATCTTTACAAATAGTCTATCTAGAGTTTTGTTTGACGAGTTTTGTGACAATATCCGGTTTCAACCACCAGAGACTATTAGTGATATATCTTATCAATATATTATTTGTATTTATTATGTTTATCATGTAATCGTATTTACCCTTTACTTTTCATATAGACAAATATCCTCCTTGTATAAATAAGACCATATGTGATTAATGAAAGCATTGTTTAGAATTCATTAAATAATACAAAAGTATCTTGAAAACATAAACATGAAATCAACATACTTTTAATCTTTATCACCGTTAAGTTGGCCTGGCGACGATCACTAACACAAATTCGAATCTACAATTTTCAACCTTGAGCTTACATGTTGTTAAGGAAAACATAGTTTCAATTGATAATAATAATAATAATAATAATAATAATAATAATAATAATAATAATAATAAAACATATTTAAAATGCTTGAGACATGGTTAACAAAAAGTTAATCTTCACCAAAGGAATGCTCTGATGATTTTGAAATTATGTTTTATAAAACTAGTATTGCCGAAAGTACATTCTTTTTTACTTGTACTTTGCTTAAATATATTATTAAAACCTAACAATATTAAGGCAAATGACATCAATGATATCCACCATTTGGATGTGGTGTTGTTTTTAATCATGTGTAAGTATATGATGAAAAGTCACATTGCATTGCTTTTCCCAACATTACATGTTACTCATTTTGTCCTTGTTACCTAAAACATGATATGAATCGCATGGCCTACCACACAAGATTTTAAAACAACTCGTCTTAAGAGATGGGCTCAGTCAATGGGCTTTTTTCATGCACACATTATTTCTCAGGCATACCTTGTACTTGTGTCTCCCAATCTAAAATTTCACTTTCACTTTTGTTGGTAGAATGAACCGCATAACGATTAACGAGTTAAAATTGCCATTTTAATATTAGTTTATAAACAATAATTTATTCGATATGATGACAAAAATCATATTATTTTTATAATAATACAGTATTCAATCTAAATTTTTGGAAACTTTCCTTTTGAACAAATAATGATGAAATATAATCCATCTCTAAATATTATTAAAAGAGAACTTTAAATTCTAAAATGAAGAAACAAGGACCCTTGATTATATTTCACTCTTTAGATCTCCACCTTTGGATTATTTTGATGACATCATCCTAGACCAAAATACGTTTTGCTGACATATAGACCAAAATACGCACGGTAACTTCCTTCTTACTTTTCATTCCTAATCCTAATTTCATTCTAATCAAGAGCGTATATCGACATGAAGTCATTTTCTTCTTCTTTTTCATTTTCTTCTTCTTTTTCTCTTTCTCTCTCTAATCCATCAATGGATGTAGCTGTGATCGATTGGAAGGATTTGAAGTTCGAAAAGGACATACTTTATGAAGACATTAACGCTCCTCAATGGATTGATTTCTCCAGTCATGATCCTCCTGTTGATGATGAAGCTCGGGGCATTCACAAAGCGCCGTTGAATTTTAGGGTTTTGTTTCTAGGGTTCCTTTCTTCTTTCTTTTCTTTTCTGTGTTTCTTGATGTATTGATTGATGTCGATGGCAACACACAATCGGAAAGCTTCTGGAACGACGTCGTCACTTGCAAAGCGACATACATCATGTTGTAATCTTAATGTGTTTCACTTCCAGTTCAAGAAGGATTATTTGGGTAACCCTTTTTATTCCATTATTGCTTTTTTGATCGTTAAATTTGGATGCAGGCCCGAGAAGCTGCAATTGTAGCTGCACATGGAAAAATGGTAGATTTCCAAAGAAGAAAGAGTAATTCTTATATCTTTTATCACTACCCTTATGGGCATTGTCTACCAAAAAAGCTTCATAGTTAGCTTCATAAGGTCCATTAGCGTACTCTTCCAAGGTCTCTGGCTCATTGTCATGGGTTTCATGCTTTGGACTAGAAGCTTGATTCCGAAATTAATAGAGAAGCAAACCAAAGGGAATAAGCAGCGATCTTTAATTTCCAAAAACCAGGAATATAACAAGAAAATGCAATAGAATATAAAAGAATTCTATTAAAATTTTGATGAAAATGCCCCTGTATGAGCGTCCGGAACAGCGACATGAAGCGGATAAGCTCAATGAAAAGAATACCATCCACAATGTGACCAAAATACCCCTTGGACAAATACGCATAATTAAAATGACAGGCTCCAGCATTCCTTATCTTCTTTAAATCAATATCACTCATATCAAAATACTTGTGATTAGTCTGGTGTCTTCTGGTTATTCCGCTGAAATTTCAATTTTTATAAAATGATGAATATACCCTTTAAGCCATTTCTTGAATAACCCTCTTTTGTTAATGTGTGGTTGATAAATATTACTTTCAAAGGTCAAACTTTCACAGTTTGTGAATTTAGTATTTTTTTTATCATTGCTAGATAGTTTTTTACTAATTATTATTTTTACACCATGTATTCCAGGCATGTAAAAAACTCAACCAAACTGAGCTCTCTTATTGTGAGATTTATGCCTCTTGTGAGCCCTGTCCTATGTGCTTTGGTGCCATTCATCTTTCAAGAATCAAGGTGCATTTTCCTCTCTAATCCAAATGACATCTTTACCCTTTTGTCTAAAAATGAGAGTAAAGTTACAACACTACAACCTTTTACGTTCTGCTTTAACAAAGAGTGTAAATGACCATTTTACCCCTAAAATCCAAAAACATATCCGTTATTTAGTTTATTTATGTGAATGCAGAGGTTGGTTTATGGGGCAAAAGCATAAGCAGCAATTGCAATTGGGTTTGATGATTTCATTGTAGATGCATTAAGAGGCACTGGATTTTATCAAAAGGCTCATATGGAGATTAAAAAGGCAGATGGAAATGGAGCAGTTATTGCTGAACAAGTATTTGAAAACACCAAAACCAAATTCTCCATGTATTGATTTCATTTCATACATTTTAACATTTCACATTTTCAACATTATTATTATTTCTCCATTTTTCTCAACAATTAATTACAGAATCTCAAGTTTTCTTTCATTAGACACTTCTTTCTAAAAGTCAAGCTGTTGTTCAAAAGAATCCATTTCTTTCTAAAAGTCAATCTGTTGTTCTTTCTTTATAATTTTTTTTTCAATTGACTAACAGTAAATGAAAGAATAGTTGATTAATTACAATATGTATTTATACTAATTATAATGCAATTAAATCCTTGTGGTATTCATATTTGGATTTCCATGTGAAAAAAATTGCACTTAACATTCATACCTAATGTAAATTGGAACCATTCCTTCAATTTTCAGTAGAGTTTTCCTATGTTCTTACATCATTGACACCATCTCTCTCTGTGTGTGTGTGGCTATTTCTGTATGACCAAGGGGCAAAATGGTCATTTTTTAATCAAAGTATGTTGGGTTGGGTAAATGATATTAATTCCATGTAGTATCATATTTTATATTAAATGAAAATAATTTAATGTTCTTTTTGGTCAGATGATTTTGGATTCAATCATATTCTGGGGGTTTATATTGGCCAACATGTGGTCCATTGTTGGGTTGGTGATGGAAAAGCAAGAAGGTAATAAAACTGTTTACAATATGAAGCATTAAGCACTCAGAATTGATCCTGGACCGGGGACGAACCGAACCGCATACCGTTAGTAGGTCTGATGATGGTTCTTCAATATAATGAATTTCGGTCCTTCGGTTTTCGATTTGATTCCAAGGAAAATCGGAAAACCTGCATGTAAGAACGTTTGTATTCCATGATAGAATTATTGATTTCCATACCTTAATTATACGTGATATATAGGTTAATTAACTTAAATTGGAATGATATATGTTTCTTTTATATTTGCTATATTACTATTGTCTCACTTTGACATGTAAATTAACTTAAAGTTGAAAATAAGAAAGATAATTTTATAAAAGGCAATATATATTCGAATTTTTAATCCATGACTTCTTTGACTATTTTTGTTTATAATGAGCTTCTTGGAAACTCAAAAAACAGTGTAGAATTATCCTTTGTAAATTTCTTAAAATCAATATTTTTATTATTTTATCTCATCATGATTTCGGTTTAATTGTAGGTCGTTGTATTCTACAAGTAGGACTAGCAGGCAACATCATTAAAAAAGAAGCATGACAAAAGTCCAAACGTTGCTCCAGACAACTTCAAAGCAATTGTTGTAATCCCAAAGACTTTTCCATTTATTTTATCTCAGGTAGTAAAAGTCTCTTCTTTTACTCTGTTTTTATAATCACACTAGGGAACACTTGCAAATGGGTCAAAATTCATACAAATATAAGAGGAAATGAGCCTTATAGTTGGTGGTTCCAACTTTGAGATGAAATCTTATTTATAGTTCTCAATAGGGATTCAAATGGTAATACAAATCTGTATGAACTCATGTTATACTTGGTGACTTTGCAAGTAATTACTTAAGCAATATGCTTTCATTTCCACTCTTTTTACCAGATGTGCAAGCAATATGATTATTTAAGGATTACGCATTTACACCGTTGTACTATGACTAAATTGTTGTACATATTAGGTATATGGGTCGATATTACTAATTGTTCTGTGGTATTTGAAAAGATGTTATAATTTGTTTTAAGATGTTACTTTTTGTTTTGGATCAGGTATGCACATGTTTGGTTCGTTGATTTCCGACAGAATCCAATGGAATTGGAATGATGGATTCCATTCCATGGTTGGTTTTGGTTGCCAAATCGATGGAATTCAGTTCTGTCACCACTACGATTTTCATACAGGATGTATTTCAACATTTCTAAGGGTAGGTGGAATTTCAGGCGTTTTTGGTTGCCAAATAGATGTAATTCAATTTAAGCCTACATTTCAATTCAATTTCATTTAATTTCATGTCGACTAAAATACCCTCATTATACATATATTTCAATATAAAAATGTTTTACATTTCAAGAGTAGTAAGTCAAATGTAATGATTAAAGATGGTGAATGTGTATTTTCTTGTGTTGTGTAGAGGATGTAAAAGATCGCAAATGGAAGAAAGTGATGACTATTAAAGATGGTGTTGATATATTTGTAGAGTTTGTGGCAGTGAGATTTGCTTCTTTCTTTTTTTACTTTTAGGAATCATGAGGTACTAGATTTCATGACACAGTCATCCGATGATATATTGTATCAAATGAACAAATGTTCTTTCCTTGAATAGTCTTAATTACGGTTAATGACAATTTTACCATTTTCTTTTATACTAATTGTACTTTCATTTTTTCCTTATTATGGCATCATATGTTATTATACCACTTTCTTCTTTAGTTATATCTCTGTGATGAATCCCACTTAGCATGACCCGAAATACTTTGAAAATTCATTGTAATAAACTTATTATTGATGTGAATGGTTCATGTTGCTATTGTTTTGCAAAAAAATACATTGACTTTTACTGTTTCTTGCTATAAAACAAAATAAGTTTATTTTTATTTTTATTTTTATTTTTTTTTAATTTTGGAATATAATCTTAAAATAACAATTGTACTTTGAATAAATTACATTGTTTTACCCAATTCTAACATTGTACTTTAAAAGTATGATGCTATTAGAAGGAAAATGGAATTTGTTTAGCAATTTAACTCTAAGTTGTTGAAAATGTTGAAAATGATTATTTTAACCGTATTCCAAATATGATAAAAAGTTAAAACATGATTGTCGATATCTATTTTTTCTTTTAAATAATGTCATTTTCATCCCTTTTATTAAACATGGTGTGCTTATGATAATGTTTTAATGTGTATGTTACTGTGGTTGAGGGTTTTTTTTTTTTGGGGGGGGGGAGGAGGGGGGTTGGGGTGATCTTATTGCTACTTTTGAATTAATATGCATGTTAATAGCAACTTACTTTCTTTCTTTCTTTTTGAATTTAGGAAGGTTATAATTAGTAACTTGACCATTCGTGTAGTGATTTTTGAGATGGACACTAACTTCGTTTTTTCCATTTTCAAAATTATTGATGTACATTCTTAACTGTTTAGGTTATTTTACTTTGTCAATTGTATACCTTCTTAACTGTTTATGTTATTTTTCTGGTGTCGCAAATCAACACTAATATTTAGTGCTTTTGCATCTTGAGTGAGGATGCAAAGGAGGTTCGATAGATGGATGGGGGGTTAAACAAATGAAAGAGTAAAAAACTTGTATTAAAACAACACCGAATAAAACCAATATAAATCTTGGGTGCTCCTTACTACAAGTGATATGTGTTCCCCCGCGTTTAACGCGGATTATAATCTAGTTTATAAGTAAAGTAATGGAAATTATCACATCTGTAATTTTTTTTTTGGTACGAAATTTCACCTTGAACTTATTATACAGGAACTCAAAGTTGGCTTTCCTTTTAGAAAACTGTGTGTTATACAAAACTAGTTGGAAGTAGTTTCAAGGTGGAAAGTGAAAGTTGATAGTTGTAACCTCAAAATGTTTTTTAACCACCGTAATACATTAAAGTAAAATTACAAAAATCATGCTATTACATTAATGATCAAATTTTTTTTTGTGTATAATGATATGTGAAGTTTTGTTTGTTGAAAATGCAATATCTAATATTTTCGGTTTAATTTGTTCAATATCATTCTCTTTTAGCAAGTTTTTTCCTATCTTGTACCACACTTACCATTTTCACTTTCATTTATTATGAGTGATACTGTAAATTTCACTATGAGTAGAGAGATGTGATCATCACACCTTAGGAAAAAAAAATCATGATTTCAAGAATAATATGGCATATAATGGAGCGTTTGTGATATTTTCCTATTGTTCTTCATGATCAAAGACCAACCACGTGAAATGAATGTTTTGTTGCCTTTGCAAGTTTGCATCATCTCAAAAAAGTATGTGTTTCATTTTCAACACATTCATCTCTCATTTGACTATAAGAATAATTGGTACTTGTCATATTCGATGGGATTGATACAAAACTAATGCATGTTCCTAATCGAATTGATTAAATGACTTATGTCTTTGTAGGTAACATGCATAAGGTGTTATGTTTATATTAATTTGATTGGATGTCTTATTCGATAATTTATAATAGGTCGACTTTCCATTTAAGCTATCATGTTTTCGGATAATATCACTTGATGTCATTACACCTCTTTCAAACAAATCATATGATTCAATCTACTTAGTGCCTCCACTATGAGATTTGATTTCAATTTCCATTTAAGCTATCATGCAATTTTCTGTAACACCCCTTTGTTTTATTTGTATATTTTATTTTAATCCCCATCAGTTTTCAGTTTCTTGAGCAAAATTAATTTTAAAAAATTACATCATTGAAAAAGAGTTCATTGTTACGTTTAGAATGAGACAAATATCGAATACGATTTGACAAAAAAGATATTATAAATTTTGTATTCTGCTTTATAAAACCAATTAACAATGAATATTAACAGCATATAACAAAAAAATAAAAGTACTTGTTTTTGTATTACGTTTAATATAAAAGTTAGATGTTAGATCATCTCAACCAGTCAACCTCGACTTTATTTATAAAATAACTTTATTTTTTATGTAAAAAGTTAGAGTTACAATTTAACATACTTTTTTACATATAAAATATAAATATTATTACTCAAAATTTGAAATAATACTATTCGCTACATAATAAAGAAAGTTTATATTTTATTTGTCATATTTGGTCCTTTGGATTTGAGTTTATATGTATTTTATTTTATTTGTTTTTTTGAACGTCAAATCTAATCTACTTCTTAATAACACATATGTTCACGACGAGATTTGAACACTCAACCTCAATAAGGATGACAACATCGGATACCGTTGTGTTAGAAGCTCTTTGTTATTTGAATTTATATATTTAGAGATTGTTTGATTATGTTTTTATAATTAAATAAGATAATTGTTTAAATTTATTAATAACATTATATTTTCTAATAAATCATGACATCATATTTTTATATAACTTTAAATTGACATACACCAACTTAATTTGAATTAGTTTTATAAGAATTATGTGTTTGGTTATATTTTTTTTATAATATAATCTTTATAGTTAATAAAACATAAATATTTTGGACAAAATTAAAAAAAAAATAGTAATTTAAAGGGGTTTTTGTGAAAATTTTAGAAAAATAGAGAAATAATACATTTGGAATATTATTTTGGTTTAAATGATAGAGTTATAAAATAAAAGTGAATCGTAACTTTATATTTTCTAATAAATCATAACATGACATCATATTTTTATATAACTTTAAATTGACATACACACACTAGATTTGAACTAGTTTTATAAGAATTATTTATTTGGTTTTATTTATTTTAGAAAAATAATCTTTATAGTTGATAAAACATAAATATTTTAGACAAAATTATAAAAAAATAGTAATTTATATTTTTAATGAAGAAGAAAGTTTTACATAGATTTAGCGGGTAATATTTCAAATTGAAAAAAATTGAAGAAAAATGGAAAAGTAATATATTTGGAGTATTATTTTGGTTATAGAGTTGAAAAATAAAAGTGGATTGTAAATTAATCACGATTAATACTATTTTTAAATGTAAACTAGTATTTAAGTTATTATGTGTATTGCGACGGAAAATTTATGTAGTAATAAAAACAAAAGTAATAAAAAAATTATGTAAGCGATTAAAAACGTAACTTTAAATACAGAGTGGAGTTTATTAATAGAGTACAGTGGATAATGCATAACAATGTTATATCTCCTCGATTTATGGATATCGTCTTCAAAAAAATTGTCTTTACAATACAAAAAGGTTTAGCGGCGCACCTTGTTGCCTGTTTGTCTTCTCACTCGTTGTATTATGATCAATAAAATGACATATAAAATTGAAAAAAAAAGACCAAAATTACAACTTATAAAATACTGATAATTTAATTTTAAAATTATGAAATATGAAAACTATTAAATCTATTTTTTTAGAGAAAAATTATAAATGTAAAAATCTATATGAAAATCGTTATTTCCAAATAATTGTTTATTTTGAATCTTAATATAGATTTAGTTATTTTGGGACCGGAAATAATAATAAGAAATGAATAATCATTTTCTCTCACTGACTATTTTTCCTAATTAATATGCATATAATATGGTTGAAAATGTCCATAAAAATATAAATAAATATGTGAGACTTATTCAGGGCCGGTTCATTGATTTTGAAAGCCCTGTACGAAAAATAAAAAAGGACCCTAAAATTTCTTATTAAATACAGATAGCGATATAAAACAACGTCGTTTTTTTAAATAAATAAATCATATTCGATCAAATTTCGCAAATTCTATAATTGTTTGTTCCAATTCTTTTGATTCTTCACTTTATTTTATGATATTAAATCAAATCCCAGTTTGTATTTAAGAAATTATATGGTAATCACTTAAACAGACCAAACGATATGCTTTAGTAAAATCTATTAAAAAAATAATCAAAGGAACATGTAATAAAAATTTACAAAGCTATTGGACATGGATTATAATTTAATGAAACATTTGTTTTTTTTTTTTTGAACCGGCAAACGAGAAATATATATATATATATATATATATATATATATATATATATATATATATATATATATATAAAGGAAAAAGCGAAGCACACCTAGCAAGGAGCTAGGAGTAAAAGTACAAAATAAGAGCACAAAAACTAAATGAAAGTTACAATGATTTGAACGGGAGGATATTCCAATCCGTCCAGTTTAGGCCTCTTTTACCACCTCTATGTTTAACCCAAAGAAATGTCGTTGATTTGACAATGTCCGCTACTTTCGTAGCACATAACCGTTTATTAGCAAATATTCGTTCGTTTCTTGCTTTCCAGATACTCCATAAGGTCGCGTAATAAATGCTCAGCAGTGAATGAAATGAGTAAATAGTTTTTTTTTTCAAATAATTTCAATGATTTAATAAAGTAATATATAAATGAGAGAGGGAATCTTGCAATATTATTTTGCAGCGTATGCAATGAACTTTTCAAAAGAAAAAAACGAGCATTTAATGAAAGCATACAAAGTAATTAAAGCATACAAATGGCTTCTAGCCTAGCGGTACCGGGTGTTGTCCTCCCTCCTAGAGGTTGAGGGTTCAAGTCTTATTGGAGACATAGGTGGTATTACATGTAATATAGGAGTAGTGTAGATTTAGCGTTCTAAAAAAAAATTAAAATTTAATGGAAGCACACGAAGTAATGCCAAATATTAAAAAAGATATATGCCTTCGAAAAGAGACCAGAAAAAGACTCGAACCTTGGTTGTGATGTCTAAAGAAAAATAACGACAGGCGTCTTGTCAGACGAAATACATGAAATATGTAACTAGATATGAACCAAATATTATATATACAAATATTAAATAATAATTTGGCAAGATTTTGGGCCCTATTTTTTTCGGGGCCTGTGCGGTTGCACACCTTGAACTTCCCTAGGGCCGGCCCTAGACTTATTTAAAAGCTTTTAAATGTTTTATATATAGTTACACCGTTTTATGATTTATAAAAAATAAAAAATGATATATTGCTATTGATACGAAATGGAACCTCTAATTTCTAAACGAGGTAAGTGGGCAACCGTTTTATATGTGATCAACCAAAATTTGGATAACACAATCCGAACTCTATTACAACCTGCAATACTTTTTACACATAAATTACGTATTTTTCAACGGTTATAACTCTTTTGATTTTAATCTGATTTTGGTATTTTATTAATTTAATGAGCTAAAAACAAAATATACTTGAAATTCTGATTAGTCAGTAAATTTTAACAAATGTCCTTTGAGAAAGATGGGGCCACTTCCATCCATTTATGCTTCCTTCATATATCATTTTCAGCTCCTCTTTTTATACACACAGAGAGAGAGAGAGAGAGAGATCCCAATAACGACCGTTATACAATAATTCATTAATGTTATTAATTTAAAATCCAACACTAATTAAACTACCAATAAAAAAAGAAAAATATTGTGAACATGCTGATTTTATAAATTATAAAAAAAAGAGCGGGAACATTAAACTAAACCCACTTATTTTAAAAAACCAATTTCCTTCGAGGCGCCAAGACGGAACTTTTCGCGGCAAAGTCAGCGAGATCTCGGATTGTTTCGCTCACCAAATCCTTGAATACCAATCGTTCGATGTACAGAACGGTTTCCGACATCTCCACCGGATGATCTTCCCAGCCATTGTTTCCAGCGAGATCTCTTTTCAGTACACCACAAATCGGATCCAACAAGTTGTCGTTAGTAAATCGCTCACGGATTTTTTGAAATTCGGAGCAAATCTGGTGTAGAGAGTTGATGGATTCAGAAACGGCTTTCCACGGCGGCAATTGGCTGTTCCGGTCGTGGATTTCGGCAACGACGTCGAAGACGAGCTCCCGTTGGAGTTTGGAAGCTTTTGATGTGTCGTTTCCGTTGAAGTATTGTTGCTTCTCTAAAAAGAAGAAGACGCTGGAGTCATCCGGGAGGTATTTTGATGCTCGGAGTATTTCCGAGATGTAAGCGAAATCAGAATCGTCGGAGATGAAGTCTTCGTCTTTGGTTGATGTCGCCGGAGAGATTATAGAGCTCCAGATATCGTCTTCCAGATCAACAACGGTAAGATCTGTTGAGTAAAATCAGTTAATTGAGAAAAACAAGGAAAACGAAAGCGAAATCGAAATCGGTGTTATCGATGTTGAAGAAGAAAAGTACCATTACTGAATTAAATAAAACCGATAGCAGTCTCTATCAAAAATTTAAACACTGACTTTATAACAGTTAATATGACGGACGCTCATTCAATGGACATTTGACTTGACGACGCCGTCGTCGTCAGAATGCCGACGAGAGCCACCTGTGGTGAGGCAGCTCTGGTCACGTGACAGCAACCAACGTCCAACGGCACATGTTAACTTTTCTATATGTTAGCATGCTAAGATAGGCCTATATGATGTCGTCATTGTTTACAAAAAGAAACGAATAAAAGAAGCGGACAACTAATCAGAGTGCGCCACGTTTACAGGTTGAGAGTTGTTGGGACACGAGTCCACATGGAAACGTCATGTGAACGCAATGAAGATTTGTTTTCTGAATTCTGAGCATTTGTTTGCGTACCTTTGAAATCAATGCTGCGTTTCATAACTGGTGAAGGAGATGACGACTCATCCTTATCGAATGCAGGATCAAGAACAGAGACTGGACTTGGTAAAACTGAACCGGAACTCGGTTGTGACTCGGAGGAGACGATGTTCATCTCTGCAATGCTGTGCAGCAACCTGTCACATCTCTCTAACAGACTCTTTCCTTCCCTGTATTCCTCCATTTTTGATCTCTGTAAAATCGGTAAACAGACTAAATCGTTAATAATAATGCAAATAGGAAATAATTAACCGAATGAAATATCTCATATCTGTATACCTCTGGATCGGATTGAGAAGTTGTACTACCGGTGCTTTCAGAAATCGATGAGGATTCATCCTCCATAACAAAGCTTCTGCCAATCTTCTCCTTAGAATAACCGATGCCGGCTGCTTTCCTGCTTCTCGGAGATCGATTTGTGACGGACTGATAATCGGATCCGTTTCTTTTAGGTGTAAGCTTAGGAGAATTAATCGGCGAACTTCTTCGTGATTCAGAGGATTCATGGAAACTCCTTTGCGTTTCTACGCTCAATGGCTTTCTCTTGACAATTGTATTACTATTCTTCGAGTTACTAAGAGCGCTAGAATTTCTAGCTCTGACCGGACTTCTTCCGCTCCGATCGAGTACTCCACGTTCCTTTCTTGGACTGACTGACGGTAAACTCTCTCCGGCGTATCGATTCATACCTCCTGAGTCGTTTCTGAATCTCCGACCTGATGCAGGGGAGCGCCACGGTTTCATGAGCACTATTTGTGAATCGTCGGAAGAAAAACTCGGATCGTATACGAAGTTCTTCTGGCTGTCTCTGTTTGGAGGTCTTTTAGAATGCAAAAGGCCTTTGAGTTGCAACGCTTCGAGAATATGCTTCAGGGACTCCAGATCATTGGACTGCTCATCTAGTCCTCTTAACCTCAAGTTCTTGTCGGAAATACTATACATTGGCGCCGTCGTCTGTTTTGGCTCCGGGAAAAAATCCGCCGAATCAAAGAAGCTTCTCCGCTGTTGAGGGGATCTCCATTGAGATGTTCTTGGAGATTCAGTTTTTTGATTTCTTGATGAATATTTCATTGACTCCATAACTCTGCCATTCTGAGCGTTTCTGCTGCTCACGTTGCACACATTATCTCCAACACTGGTATTGTGCGTCAGATTTGTATCCGCTGCTTGTTTGTTTGCTAGATTTGACTGGTTGGTTTGGGAATTGTTGCAGTCAATAAATCTGGAATGAAACAGATCTCTGGGAACCCTGGATTCAGATGCCGATCGCCGGAGCTCCGGTTTCTTGACGGTTTCCGGACTCGATGGTGGATCGGAAGATGGCAACTGGTCGAGTCCCATGAGTCTCGCGATGACGCTGGGCGACCGGCGTTGCTTGTCGTAAGCTTCATCAATGGCGTTGTTACCATTGTCCATGCGTATCTCCATTGGACAAAGACTCCCTTTCGAGTCTACCATTGCTCTGCTATCAAGCGACAGCCTCGGCATTTCTTTGCAGAATTTCCATGAAGTTTTTATCGATCCCTCCTTCAGGTCAAACATGGGAAGGGGTAATGGTGATCTCGGCGGCGTTGCTGTTTCGTAGACATTGGAATTCGCCTTCGGAGATGGTTTGAAGCGGTCTGGGCTTTCAGGTACACCCACCACCGCCTCCGCCTGCGCTGGCTCTGGCTTCTTCATTTCTCTTATCGCCGTTGACTGAACGGACTTAACCGGCTCCGGTGACGCCATGACTCCCTGCAAAACATTTCAGTTATTTTAATGTCATTTCTTATTTTACTGTAGGAAATCTATGCATACAGCGAGGGGAAGAAGAAGAGGAAGAGCTTACGGTGGAGGGAGGGAGGCGTTTGGTGGTGGAGTAGATACGTTTACCGGCCAAAATCTGTTGGCGATCGAAGATGTGAAGGAAACCAGACATGCATCCAATCTGCTTCTCTATCTGTTTTTCAAGATTCTGATCTTGTATTAGCCCCGTCATCATTTTCCGACGAGTTCCAACCCCGGTCAGGTACTATATTTCACTACCTCCGACACACACACACAATGGCAAGATCTCTCCAGTCTAATCTTAGCTTTGCTACTTTACAGTTTACATTGGCTTATAAAACTTCATCACCTCATTACTTTTTTCTCACTACTCTCTCTCTCTCTCTCTCTCTCTCTCTCTCTCTCACCTAGTGTTTCTGGACTTTATGCTTTATCTGTAACTCCCGCTTTCTGCTCATTTAAAGGGAGAACAAAGGAAGTGAGGTCAGTGACGGGAGACATCGATGTGGGGTAGCCTGCTACTCCGTTGGATTTGTTAATCACAAGTCTCCATGATCCGTTTTAGTTTCTCTTTCTCCCACTTATAATACCAATTTCATAATTGCTTAAAAACTCCCAAGTACTATAATATATTCTTTGATTATAAAGTATAAACATAAAATAATTTCTTGTAAAAGCAATTTTTTAATGTTAAATTTATTTTCATTCTTTTTAAGTTCAATACGTTTTTTTGTAATTACTGTACGATACTTTCAAATTTATGGTGTCTGTTATATGTCTTACAAATGTATTTTAACCTAACTGAGAGTTGTGTTTTATTGTATAATAATAATAATAATTTTGAAACAATTTATTTATTAAAATCTTATAATATAAATAGACAAAAATGCAAAAATGGTCAATATGGTATGCATTTTTTCTGAGTTTCCGTTTAAACCCCGACTTTTTTGGTTTGGTGGTTCTTTTGGTTATGTCATTATGTGGTTTAGTCACTGTGAAAACTGAATTACTGTAATACCCTTATGTATTTATTTTTTTATTTTTCTTTCATTCTTTATCTATTTAAATAATTAAAAATAATAAATCTCTCTCTCTCTCTCTCTCTCTCTCTCTCTCTCTCTCTCTCTCTCTCTCTCTCTCTCTCTCTCTCTCTCTCTCAAGAACTTCCCATCTGAATCCTTAACTGGAGAAACCCGCCACCATAAATTAACACCTTACACCATCACCACTCTTCCATCAACCCTATTGTTGAACACACACCAACTATCGAGTCCTACATATTGCCTTCTCCACTGTCACACACCCGACCCGGGTAAACGGCGGAAACGTCCGGGGGCGAATGACGTCGTATACAGTATCACAACAATTGCATAATAGAGATCAAAGCATTACAAATATTGTATTGATAATTTAATATTTACATTGTATTTGAATCATTGTCTGACTTCAAAAGCATACAACAAAAATATAAGACGTAACAATACTAAACTCCGTCTTCCCCAAAACATGTGTGGGTATCTGTCTACTGCTTTCCTAAGAATACAAGTGATTTTGAAAAAAGAGTGTCGACAATTAAGTTGGTGAGTTCATAAGTATTTTGTATGAGAAATAAGTGTCTTTGTTCCTTGAAAATGATAGTATGTTCTTCCAGAAAATCCAATATTTTCTTTTATGTGTAATGTAGTCTTAAATGTTCCAAGACTAAAATGTATAAGTATTGTTGTACTTTGTAGTAGTATAGTGTAGTTTTATATCTTTATAAAACTATTTGAATGCATGTTTCCAGAAATGCAAACTGTATTGTACTGGAAAATAATGTAATTTAATCGTATCTGTGTAAAACCCTTTGTATGTTTCCTGAGATGTAACCGTATTAACTAGGAAATAATGTAATATAGTTCTAAATAAATAAAACCATTTGAAGACGTGTATGTATTCGTAAACCAAACGTATTGTTAATACCAATTTGTGAGTTATTATAACCATACTTAGCGACTGTTGGCCTGTTACGAAGTTCTTCAGGTGTCGGAATGTTACGACATTTGTCACCCCAGACCTGCCGGTCTAACTGTAGCTAACAGTTTAGGTGCGAGATTGTCAGTCCCGTATAAATCTATACACAATTGTCACGCTCTCCCTCCAGGAGACTCTGGTTATAATACAAGACTTTTGTTGGTACTTAGGTAAGTAGTTGAAGACATGTCTCACAAAGCCATATTGATTGTTTACGTGTAGTATAATGAAAGTTCCTTTTTCTTGTAAATGTATGTATTACTCGTTTACATGTTTCAAAATAATTTTGCTTTTAAATAATTATTTTTCGTATTGCATCCCGACTAGGTAAAATAGAGTGTATGTTCCATAAACTATACCTATTATAGTTTATAAAATGTCTCGTTGAAATAATGAATACTTTGTATACTATTATCAATTTACCCTGATAATAATGTGAAATGAAATAATAATAATAATTACATATACGTTTATTTAATTATATCCTTATTGTTCAACCTGTTACAATAGGGTTACAGTTTATTGTAATCAAATTTGTACCCGTATAATAAATATATTTTGTAAAAATATAAATGCAACGGTTTGTATAATAACACAAGTTTTCTTGTGTTTTACTTGTATCCCCCCCCCCCCCCCTAAAACATAACAAAATCATGGTAAAATATAAGGGTATGAACTCACCTCAGATGTGTTCTTGGCTAGAGGTGTCCAAAACCGGATATCCGGAAATTCGGATATCCGAACTTCGGATATCCGAAAATTTCGGATAGTGAATTCTGGTATCCGTATCCGTATCCGAATTTTCAGATATCCGAATTTTCAGATATGGATACGGATACCAGAATCGGATATCCAAAATTCTAACCACTTGATTTTTTTTTTAAATATTCAACCATTAAACAATAAATATTAAAGTAACCACATGAATCAACTCAAAACCAAACAATAAAGGTTAAAGTAAATTACTATGTACATGAATCAACTCAAAACCAAACACAATCACTAAAGCCATATACAAACCATTAGATAATAGTATAATACTTACATTATATTTTCCAAACAAAGGGTACAACCATTAGATAATATTGAAGTTATATAAAAATCCTATGTGCTTGGTATTTACTATATAGCCACGATATTAATAATCAACAAAAGAAAAAGTGCAAAAGAGAATGTGGCATTCGCTTCACAGTAGCAAAGAACATTCCAAATTCCAAACCAAGCACTTAAAGTCAATAAGTCTTATCTATATTTACCACCAAAAAAACTTTAGTCCATAAGTCTTGTCCATATTTACCACCAAAGATAGTTTAAGTCCATAAGTCTAGTCCATATTTACCACCACAAAAAACGCCAGAGGTCCAGACTAGTTACACAGCTACTATTTAAAGCTGCAATTTAGAAGAAATAGAAATCAAAATTAGAAACATAAATATGTATAGAATAATAGATTACATATTCAAATTAAAAAAATAGTTTGGCATAATTTAAATAGCTGAAATGGAACATCTAAATATTTATATACCTCAAGTCAGATCAGTGATTCCAGATGTTTCATCAACCGTTTCATCAATAATGATAGTCGGTTGTTCCAAAGTTAAGTCATTCAAACCTATAGGTCAAAATAAAAAGAAAACGGTAAAATTATATATTGAAAGAAACTCAATAAACACAAGTACAATTAGCTAAACCTAACCTTCCTCGATTTTCTCTATTTCAAGTAGTAGATCATCAACCATAACAGGATTATAAGAAGTACGTGTCCAATCTTGTGTACACACCAATGCTTCCACCATTCTTGGAGTCAAAGCAGTCCGGAAACAATCAAGTACTCGTCCCCCTGTACTAAAAGCCGACTCGGAGGCAACTGTAGAAACTGGAATAGCAAGAATATCTCGAGCCATCTTAGAAAGAATGGGATACCTACATCTTTGAACCTTCCACCATGTTAATATATCAAAATGTAGGTCCATAGGCTCACGATCTTCCCCTAAATATTTGTCTAATTCTGTTTTCCTTGTAGTAGTTTCTGAACTTCCCATAGCCATTTCAAACCTCTTTGTCATCATTGCATCAATGTCCATTACATCATTCCCCCACATAGCATTAGAAACAGAAGTAGAAGATATGGATGAGACCTCATCGTGCTCCTTTTGAGGCATGGCAGAATGATACATGTCAAACAGAGAGCGCATGTTGTGCTCTAGTTTGATAAGAAAAATAGCAGCACTATCTTTGTTAAAATTTTCTGCAACAACCCATTCAATATATTTCCATTTTCGCCTTGGATCAAGGACTCCAGCAATGAACAAAAATTGATTTAACTTATCAGCATCCCCCCCAATACTTCTTATATTTCTTTTGCATTTTTTGTGCCATGGTCTTAACGGACATGTCTGTATGCTTAGTAAAACCATCTATCACATGACCAATTCCAAAAACTTCTTGTACATAAGAATTGGAAGTCACATACCTGGAACCAAAAAATCTATTTGTTGCATCAAAAAATATTTTCAAGAATGGTAGCAAGCTACTTACATTGGTCCAATCAGCTTCACTTATCAAACCACCTTCACACTTTTTTAACTCTTTCTCACAATTTGAATCTTTCAGAAGCAAGTTTGAGAATGCTTTCTTAAATTTCAAAGCACTCTCAAGCATCAAAAAAGTTGAATTCCAGCGTGTATCGACATCCATGGACACAAGACTCATGCTTTCGATTTTCTCCTCTTCAATGCATGCTTTAAATTTTTGGAGCCTCGCCGGAGATGACCTGACATATTTCATAATTGTACAAATTTTCTTTATTGATAAATTCACATCATCTAGGCCATCTTTAACAACCAAATTTAGGATATGAGCCGTACATCTCATATGCAAAAAAGATCCCTTCAAAACACCACTTTCCCAATGATTAAAAACCTTTTTGAAATGATTAATAGCTAAATCATTTGAACTAGCATTATCAACCGTTACGGTCAAAATGTTTTTTAGGTTCCATTCTATCAAGCATTTTTCGACCGATCTACCAATTATGACCCCAACATGACCAACTATTGGACAAAAATTAATAATTTTTTTATGTAACTGCCAATTGTCGTCTATAAAGTATGCAGTCAAACACATATAACTTAAATTTTGTCCCGATGTCCAAGTATCTGTGGTAAGACGTACTCTGGAAGACAAATTTGCAAAAATATTTGACAACCTTTTCCTTTCCTTGATGAAAGTACTATAGCAATCTCGTGTAGCGGTAGAACGTGAAGGGACATTAAAATGGGCATTCATCACCTTACAAAAATAACGAAAACCTTCACGCTCAACAAAAGAAAACGGCAGCTCGTCAACTATCAACATTCTAGCAAGTGCTCTCCTGATAACTTCTGGGTTGAACTCCCACAACCTAGGAACTGTAGTAGTTTCAGTAGAACCATCGTCACTAATACATGTTTTGGACTCAAGGTCAATGAGTTTTTGTTTTTTATCTATGTTTTCTGGATTCTGTTTGCAACCAATAACGTGGTTTTTCAAAGGTGTAGTCCCATTTACGCTTGCACAACCAATCCTTCTATGATAATGTATACATTCAGCAACATCAACAACTTCAGTTTTTTCAAAATGTTTCCACCAAATAGATCTTTTTCTCTTCATGTGATCAGGAGCTTCACTTGTAGATGGCGGAGCTGGACGGGGTGGTTTTGCATCATCTTTTTTGTTTGAGCCCTGTTGATTTTTTCTTTTTTTCCTTTTTGTGTTTGTCGCTACCTCATTTTCAGACACAAACTCGCATTCGGATGTAACTGTACCATCGTTGGTTATGTCCATTGTGAAAATCTGAAAAGGAAATTGTACATTGATATTAGTGCAAAAAAAAAATACATTACCTAAAAGAATAAACTACATTACTATCGTGAGAAAAATCAGGTATATTTCAGATTAATTTGTCCAATAAATGAGGGAAAAGAAACTACATTACTGTCATGAGAATAAGGTCAATAAACTACACACACAGATGGCACATTTAAGATTAACTTTCCAATAAATGATCTTGAAACAAATGTTATGGACTTCACGATTTTTGTTCATCTTATTTATGTTTATAGTTAATGAACTCTTTAAATGCTCCAAACTCCAAAGTATCGTGGTTTCTTAGTGTGATCATCTAACATTTTGGAGAGTCTACCACATTCGTTATACCAATCTTTCATTCACAACACATTTAAGTATCATTTAAATCTTTCATTCATACCACATTTAAGTATCATTTAAATCTTTCATCCATAACACATTTAAGTATCATTTAAGAGTCTGTCATATTTATTTACACATACAGCTACAAAAACATCATAAAGAAAGAATCATACTTATTTACACATATATGATATAGCTACAAAAAATACAGCTACATATAGCTACAAAAACATACAGTTACAAAAACATGATGGAGTATAGTAGTAGACTAGTAACAGAACAAAAGAAAAGCATTACATAACATGGAATGTCCTATACTAGTAGCTAACCGGTTAAAAAGGGGATGAGTCGAACTCAGAAAAGGGGAAGATTCTTCTATTCGATCCTTGCTCTTGAGGAAGAGGAGAACTTACTAATTGTGAAGCTCTGTGTCTAGTATCAACAACTCTCGAAAAAATTGAAGATTTGTCTATTCGATGAGTGAAGGCATTGAGGTCGAGTAGAATCGAGAGGAGAATTGATCGCTTTGGTTTGGAAAGAACTGAGATTTCTAGTTTTGTGACCTAATCCTACCAAGTACCAACATCGTTCCTTTTGGGTTTGGGCTTTTTAAAGTGGACCCTTCAAACTATCCGAACTTTTATGAAATCGTTATCCGTATCCGAATCCGAATAACCGGATATCCGAATTTCGGATATCCGAATTTTCGGATATTTCCGGATCGGATTTTTCGGATCGGGTTTTTGGATACGGTTATTTTTGAACACTCCTATTCTTGGCTGGATAACGGTGTGAGTGGCGATGTTCTTCACGTTAGAACATGTAAATATAGTCGTATCCTAATAATATTAACATACGATATTGTGTGTAAATTAGATAAACTAATATTTAAAGTGTTAAATAACACTAACTTATGTAAGAAATACTTACAATATTCCTAAGAATCCACTTGAAGTATTTGGTTTCCTGGGATTTGTTTGAAGGTGTTCTGGGTTTATATGTTGAAGATTTGAAGATTTTTATGAAGATGGTTTGAAGATCATAATGAGTTATTATGAACTTAGAGAGAAAATACGTAACTTTTCATGTGAAAATGAGAGAAATGATAAGATGATTTAGGCCTATGCATATATATATATATATATATATATATGAGGATAAATTGATTTGACATATGCATTAGGAGGTGTATTCTATCACATTGGGAGGTGTGCCACCGTTTAAAAGTGAGAGATTTCGGCTTATCTTCATGATTTCGTTCAAAAAGCTCTAACCGAGACCTCTTTGATTTCGGTCTAAATAAGGTCCTCGGTCCATAGGTGGGTCCTCGGATAAAGGTTCTCGGCCTCGCATGATTTCGGCCAAGAAGGGTTTTCGGTGGGGAGGGATTTCGTCCAAATGGGATTTCGGTCTTGCCATGGAATTTGATTCCCAAAACCGAAAACTCATAAAATGGGATATATTACCTTATTTTATTTCAACTATTTGATTTATGTTATAACAAATTACTTTTATTTGACTTCCTTTGACTTTTATTGACCCGAAATAACCGGTTGTTACATCCACCCCCATTAAACATGCAGAAAGTCGAGGTCAAAAGGAAGCCACTGCTCTTTGTTTGTTTTTCTGATACACACTGGAAAAGTGAGGGGGTGGGAGTGAGAGCACACAGACGTAAAAGAAAGAGATGAGTGTTGTTGGTCGTTTTTTCAACTATCGGGAACCATTGGATCGTCACCACATTATCCATTAGGAACCTCTACACTATTGTTCAATTTATGAACCCTAATTACAGATCGCCACCCCTCCCATCTTTCATCTTCTAATCTGAATTCAGGCTTTGGGTTTCATCAAGTGGATTACCTGAAATAGAATATGAAACCGTGTGTGTCTTTGTGTGTTTTCATTTCTAAAATCAATTGGGGTGTGTTTTAGTTTACAAAAATTGACGGAATCGGATATCCTCTTCACTATGAAATCATGTGTGTCTTTGTGCTTATAAACAGAAGATTGTAACCTTCCTCCTTGTTTTGAAACGATCACGATATCCGGTTTCCACTTCAGTAAAACTGTTACTCACCAAATCGATCCTCCAGGTGTGTGTGAAGATCTTTATGTTCGAAGAATTAGGTCAGTTTCCCCTCTTCTCACTCTGATTCGATCACATGTGTTACTGGGTATAACAAAATTATGAAGAACAACATATTCTACGTGCAAGGCGTAAAGCAGGGGCTTCTCTTTGTTTTTTCTCGAATTTCCGGTAAAGATGGTGATGAGTAATTTGGGGAGATGTTGATTCTGAATTGTAGTGATGGAGTCCAGTTAAGGGGATGAGGGTGGGGATGAAGGTTTGCTTGAATGTTGGTATGAGGATGAATGTGATTTGAAGATGAACATGTATATATTTTTTGTGTGTAAATGTAGGCTTTGTTGATTTCTATCAGCTCATTATTGATATTGATTTTCTGTATTGTAATTATATATGAAACAATATATAGTTTTTTTAGGTTTGTTCTTGATTTTTTGGGACAGTAAACAACTAGAGGTGTGGGACTAAATCGGAGAAGATGAAATGAGAGAGAGAGAGAGAGAGGGAGTGAGAGAGAGAGAGAGAGAGGATGAGGAGGAGGAGGGATGTGTGTGCCCCCCTTCTATTCTTTTAATTATTAAAATAGATATTGAAAACTGTAAAAATAAAAATAAAAGGGTATAATAGTTATTTTAATTTTTGGAGGGACCATTTCCACATAGAAACATGGTCAAAAAGACCATGAAACCAAAAATGTCGAGGTCTTGACAAAAACCTAGAAAAAACACAGGGACCATTTTTGCAATTTTGTCATATAAATATAATACTTTATTTTTAATAATCCATATATATATATATATATATATATATATATATATATATATATATATAGAGAGAGAGAGAGAGAGAGAGAGAGAGAGAGAGAATACATTTTTAAATTAGTCTTTTTGTTTCTTCATATAATTTTATATGTTCTCATAATGTTATTATTAAATACACTATCCAAATTTATCATACATACTTATAAAGCTAACATTTTTTCTTGAATCTCATTTATTCGAAACCCCCATTTTTTAACTTCCTCAAACCACATTCATTTGAAACTCCCATTTTTTAACTAATACAACTCAAAAGTTTTCTTAATTATGATTTAACACTCAAAAGTTTTATAACTTATTTATTTAATTAGCATTTAGTGAAAAGTTTACTATAAAAAGGCAAGGCCAATTTTTGTGTCTTTTGTGTTATATAAAATCTTACATGTAAGAAGGATGTCATAACATCAATGTTTTGCTTGGAATATCTTTCAACTAAAACAAATAAAGTTTTTCTATTCTTTCTTTATATTCAATTTCTCATTTAATCGTTATATGTGATTTGTGTGTATTACTCAATCTTGAATGTGACTCTCCAAACATCAATGTTTTGCTTGGAATATCTTTCTGATTCTTCTTTTTCAAGAAAAATATTTTGATTGCAGGTTAGTGAAGAATTGTCATCAAGTTTCTAGTTTCTATGATGGTTGAATGATTAATGAAGAAAGAAGATTCAGAAAACGTATATATGTTTTTTTTGTTTCAGCAAAGTTGACGAATGTTAGTTTTTTTCTTTTGATTTAAATGTATGTTTATGTAACATCCTTATTTATATATTCAACCACCCAATGCTCTTATTTATTTGATTGTAGTTTTTCTATTTTGATTATGTTTATTTTCTATTATTTTTTTGTTGGTTATCCTACACAACATATTTAAAAGACAATATTTAAAAGATAACATAATTTTTAACATTTGATATGTAATTATGATAGACTTATCATGATATGTTCTTCATATGAAAGTAATTTATCCCATATTACTACGACAAAAATTATATATGACATTTACGAATATATATATATATATATATATATATATATATATATATATATTATATGTGATTTGTTTAACATGTATATGCATCTATGTATGTTATAAATTTATAATTAAATCTTTATGTTTAATAATTGAAGGGATTAAAATGATGCATCAAAACCAATTATTTAGACGAATATAATAATAATAATAATAATAATAATAATATAATATTATAATAATAATAATAATACACATATCCAAGTACCAAGTACCACCGCATTCATTTGAAACTCACACTACAACTCAAGAGTTTTCTAATTTATGTATATTTATTAGTTACAACTCAAGAGTTTTTAACTTATGATTATTAATTAGTAATCACTAATAACTTTTTATTTTTTTTCTTTTATAAGGTTGTAAAGTTTTGCTCATTAAAAACATTAATGTATTTGAAGAGATTTGTGATTTAAATATGAATAGTTAATATAAATGTTATAATAGATGTTTTAGTGTTTTTATGTTATTAAAAGTTATAGTGTTTATTTTTCATATTTTTTATTATTCGTTGTATATATATCTTTTTTAATACAAATGTTATAATAGATGTTTTTCTATTTTTATATTACTAAAAGTTGCAGTTTATATTTTTGTTCATACGTTTTGTTACCCGTTATATTATCATTCATTTGATATATAATTTAAAAAATTTTAAATGGTTTATAAAATTATCAAATAGTTGTATATATCAC